TTTATTTATTTACACGCTTATTTGCAAAAGATCTTTATAAGAAGGTCGACTTAAGTCTACCTCCCCCTAGGCTTAAAGTTAAGTCAGAACTTAAGTCATCGACCGACTTAAGTTTCTTTGTGATACGCTAAAACTTAAGTTCAAAGACTTAAGTCAGTGACTTAAGTTAAACGAAGACTTAAGTCCTGACTTAAGTCCAAATTTTGACTTAAGTCAGACTTAAGTTTTTTCGTGATACGACCCCCAGAGTATAAAACTTCCGTATTTTTATTGCAACAACGTTAATGTTGTGACTATAACTTTTTTAAAGAAAACAATAGAACAAGAAAAAAATAAACAAATATTACAGGAAAAACATCAATAATTGGATAAATATTTAACATTTTAGATTCTAATTAGAAACTCTTTGTCGTTCTCAGTTTTTTCAAGAAATTCGTCGTTTTTGAGATAAATAAATTATTATCGGAAAGATGCCATCGCTGTGAAATGTGAAATGTATTTATTTCAAAAACAACGAATTTCTTCAAAAAACCGAGAACCTTTCTTCAGCCATTCTTTAGCAAAGTGTGCCTTTTCAAACTCAAACCCTGCCCACTGGCTATTTCATTCTCCAATACAAGATCATACAGAGGTTTAAAACGTTTCAACCTGACGTTTTTGGAACCGAACGGTTAAAACGTCATGTTGACCTGGCGTTTTAACCATCAGGTTGGAAAAAGTGTCAGGTTAGAACGGTTAAAGTGTCGGGTTAGAACGAATAAAACGTCAGGTTTTAACGTTAAAACCGTCAGTACGGTTTAAACGTGTGATTTTTTTACAGTGTAGTTTTACGAGAAAGAACTCACATAAAACTCCAAAAGTGTTCAATTAATAATATCATGCAATAGTGGTATTATTAATTGAAGACTTGTTTAAAAATCTTTTAGAAAATTTCCAGTTCTTGTTATTCCGTTCAATTGTGCTGTTGATGTTTTATCATCTTCTTCATAGGATTTAATAATCCAATGTTGATCAATTGTAGAAAATCGAAACTGTCCATTAACTAGGAAGTATCTTTCGCCAACATTTGTGTTTATAATTTTATGTCCTTTCATGTATGTACAAGCGAACAATGGATGTTGTCTTGAACATGTCCAAGTATATTCTTTTGGAATCTGATTTGAATCGCATATAAGCTTTCGCATTAGTAGACTACGAGGTATTTTATCATCATTGGTAATCCATGCTTCTTCGTCCGACCGACAAGCAGCTTGTAAAGCAATGTCAAGATTTTTCTCATTTAATTTTTCTAGTTCTTCTATCCAACACCCTGAATAACATGTATCTGCAATGATTGTTAAAAAGTCCTTGTTTTCCACATTGTACTGTTTCCATTCTTCGTCCTCATTTTCAAACAGATTGTTAACTCTAGATTGTTGCCACCAGTACATTAATTCTCTAAGCGTTATTTCACCATCATCTGAAAATGTCCAATTACCAGTATCTTGATCACCGTGTCCACACCAATAAATAAGATAAGTAATTTTATTAAATTGTTGATTACGATATAGCTGGAAAAATTTTTGTATTAATTCTGCTGTTTCACGTTTTGAACAAAACAAACTAGTTGGGATTGATCTCCATACAAAAATATCTTTTTGTTCAAAAAATGTTTTGATTAAATCAAAATCTCTCTCCCACCATTGTAATTCTAGTCGGATTTCTTCTTTAGTATGTTGTTGACGTCGTCTTCTATTTTTAATTTTAATATTTGTACTTTCATCGAATACGCATCCACCTAATAGAAGAGCAACGATATATTCTTTCTTCTTTTTCTTGTTATTTGTATTTTTATTTGACATCTTCCAATATTTTTTTATAACCTGTGAAAGATCTGTTTTTGTGTAAAGTTTTATACTCAAACGAAAGTATTTCTATTTTATAGTTACTGAGTTATTACGTAAGTATTTTTTTCTTTTCCTATAGGTGAGTGAAAGGCTTGCGCAATAACATTGAAATTGTGTAGTGTCTCAGCGAGAATGGACATTATCAAACTGATCATCAAAACTGAACAACGTTTTTAGCCTATTTCATCGATGAGAACTTTCTAATAATATTCAACATATTCGATACCACCAGTAGGGACATATTAACTACACAATCTATTTGGAGCGGTTATCAAATCCTTCATGAGAGAACTTCCTAGGTGCTCCAAAGCTTTTCTAATTAAACCTAGTTTTCCTACGGTAATCCTAGATGCGGATCATGAATTTAATGCCCATTTGTGCCCGTTATTGAGTTTCTGAGTATGTCTGTAGAAGCCTGGTTTCTGGTCTATAAAATAGTAATCTCAACTACAGCGAAATTTTGCCAGTAAATGTTTTCTAACTCAATTATCCAAAAATCCAGTATTACCGTAGGAAAACTAGCTTTAATTAGAAAATCTTTGAAACATCTAGGAAGTTTCTTCGTCAGACAAACGTCAATAAAAATTGGTTCAATTGATTTATTGGGTGAGTGAGTCAATCAGTCAATCAATCACTTTATTTTAGCATAGTTAGGTCGTTACAAATAAGTATTTACTTGACACAGTAACTCCTGCACCCTAGAGAGCTTAAAAAAGCAAACATAAGAGAAAAAACAGAAAGATGTTTTAATTACAATAGAGAAAAAAAGAGTAGTAGAGAAAAAAATGAACAATCAATAACATTGACATTTATACATACATGTTTTTTTAACAGGTTTTTTTTGGAGAATTTAACGGAAAAACATGAAAGGACCGAGCGAGAAAGCAAGCTTCATTCACAATATGTGTGAGGTGAAAAGGTTGTCCATCGTTTTTAATTGCCATCGACATTTATTATTACTGCTCTTCTTGCAGCTATCCTAGTGGTTAATGGTTGAAGCAGATGAAAACGAAAAAAAGCACTATATGTTCGATAAATATTTTATGAAAAAAAGTTAATCTAAAATATTTTCTTCGAATATTTAGATCAGATAAATTTAAATTTTTTTACGGAAGCCTCACTATTTGAGAAATAATCATTGAGTATTACTCTAGTAACTAATTTTTGAACTGTAATAAGAGGAGCTAAATGAGCAGAGTAACTGCTTTCATACACGCTGCAGCAGTGATCAATGACTAACAGTATGCAGAAGTTATATATGTGAAGTCGCTGGAAACATGATGTTACTCCAGATGTTCTACGTGATGCGCCTAACATCTGTCGACAACGTGTATAAATAATTGAAATATCGGTTTTCCATTTGAGATGCATGACAGACACACACTTTGTAGTTCAATGTGGTCCTCGTAAGAAAGATTAATACCATTCAAATGAAGATGTCCTATAGTCGATTGTATTTTTGTAAACTTTTTACAGAAAGAAACGAACGACCAGTTGTCAGTGTTAAGTTCTGTGAAGTTAGCAAAACACCAGACTGACAACTATTCTAACAAAAACTGGGCTTCACTTATCTGGTTAAAATTCTTAACTGGTAGAAAAGAAAAAACATCAGTAGGAAATAACGAAGTAGTACATGTTTGTGGAAGTGATAAAGCGCTAAGACTCTGTGTACTATCTTCTCAAAAACCTTAATCACATTTGACAATAAAGTGATGAGTGTGTAATCTGAACAAAGAGTACGCGTTCCGTTTTTGTGAATAGCCTGACTAAACCTAATTTCCAACTATTAGGAAATTTATCTTGAGCAAAGGAGAGAGAAAATATATCAGCTAGTTATGGAGCAAGTGCATCAGAGCACGATGTACTACACTTTGTAGAGTTGGGAGGAGGGTTGAGGTTTCGTCTATAAAGAAATTTTTTTATCTCTGCTAACACACACTTCTAAGATTTTCTGATTACACAGTTATATTCGCCACCGCCGACAGTCTATCTTGATATACAAAAGTCAGATAAACTGTTAGAAAATAAATTCTTAAGTGATTTTATTTATGTCTCAGTGATTTTTTTACAGATTTTTAATAAAACTTTCAGAAAACAATATCCTTAGTAGAAGACGGTTTCAATGCACCAAATCTTGACAGCATTCCACTCTCTTCATGAATTATCCTTTGCCATGCAACCCAATTATCTAACAAATTTCAACTGCATATAATGCCGTTGTTATGTACACCAGAAGCATCTCGAGGCGAGGAATATCAATTAAGCGTAATTCATGAAGAGAGTGGAATGCTGTCAATATTTGGTCAAAGTCAAGTGTCAAGCTTTGTGTACAAAGTAAGGTTTTCTGTTGTTATTTTTTAGCTAAAAAAGAATAGTTTTACACAAACCGATGATCTCGTTTCGTGATTCGCCGGTGATCAGTTGAAACGGAGCCACATCGACATTGCTGCCAGTAAAAAATGTCAATTTGATGTGGTTTTGTCGATATAGTGATTAACATGCATGTTTTCTATTTCAATTACGAAAACGTGGATACAAACGTAATGCGCGGTTTCCAACGCTGTATAATAATACTTAAACTCATTTTTAAGATCGTTTTGTACATTTTAGGGTATACCCGACGTCGCTGTTTTTATCGTATGATCAATAAAGCGTCACGGGTAAAAGATACAAAAATATTGCCTGCGTATTGCGCGGACTTTTCCAAGATGTTTATGAACAATTAAAACAATTACATGATATCCGAAAAATTTTAAGAGGGTTGCGAAGAGCACAAGCATGAAAAGTTACAAAGAAATATTCGAGAAATCTCAGTCCAGCTTAACTTTCACTTATTCCACCGTTCACGCTTGAGCGGGACCGAACTGGAAGGTTAATACATATCGGGGCCAAATTATTGGTAAAGTGGAACTTGAACATATATGAACATCGCCTGATGAACTTTTATAAACGGTACATTAGCAGTTACCAATCATTCTTAGTTATATGTAAAATTTCATCCCATCTCAATTTCGCGATTCTTCCATGTATATTTTGTCTTTTTAGATAGATAGAGTTCGTAGCACATCACATATTTGCTACGGCTCTAATATCAAGTAAGTTAATGAATGCAAAGAAGTACAAAAAATAGTTGATAGTAAGCAAGAATGTATTGTACTATTATCTCGATATTTATAGTTTGTGTTTTTTTTCATTCGATTCCGTGCTGTTGAAAGATATGAGTCTACTTCACAATATAAAATGGTTCTTATTAAATTAGACTCTATACTTTGCATTACCTGATTTTCGTTTCAGGTATAGTCATTCGTCCACTTTCTCTGAAAAAATCCCCAGGAAATCACCTAACGGATTACCTAGGAAGTTTAGAGGAAGTCTCTAGGGATTTCCTTAAAATGAGTAAATGCTGAATTCGACTTTTGTGCTCAATTTTAAGCGTAATTTGGCTTTTTTTTCATCGATTTTTTATCAAATTAAAATTTATTTTAAATAAGAAAACCTACCACTTTCTTTCCAAAATTCTTTTTCACCTGAGCCACCCAGTGGATGAGTCATTCGGTTAAAAAGTTAACTCACGTCGAAACGACGAGTTAACGCCGATAAGTCTCAGGCGGAACTTATCTAAAAAAGAAAGAAATTAATCTAAAAAAAGAGCTGTTTCTGTTTAAATTTTCACGTTTCATATACTTCTGCAGACGCAAAATAAAACGGTGAATATGTTGTACATTCTCCCTAAGAAATTCCAGTAGAGTCACCAGGGATTTCATTATTTCTCCCCACTCCCTAAAAATCAAGGATTTTACAGGGAATCCCAGAGAACTCTCCCTAGGAATTTCACATTATTTCAAGGATTCGCCGGCGACTTCACCACAGAAAGTGGCCTAGGGACTTTGCTGTTTTTCGTCTTCAACGGCTGATATCATTCAGTTTATGTTTTAGACTTAGGATTTGAAAACGTGTGCTACTGTTGTCATTGATTGCTTAATAAAGCGAGTAATTATATAGATCTTTAAAAGCTTGACGAACTGACGCAAATATGAGGATAAAACAGTCAGGTTATATCTTTTCTTTTTCTTTTCCATTTTTATTCGAGTATACGTTTAATATGTATCTAAAAATCATAAAAAGTGAAACATACTTAAATATATTTGAACAATGAATTAATCATAGTTCTCATTGTTCACTAAGAAAAAACAAACAAAAAACAAGAAAAGCGATTCTGTACTCATTGAGATCTTTAATCTCTCTTTGTTTTTTGCCTTACTCATTGAAAAAAGAACACCACTCTACCAAATTCTCAAATGAAGATAATATAATAGTTAATTAAACAGTAGGACAAGCAGCAGCAACTTGCTTAAGTTCTTCCACATCTGCTTCTTGAATTTCAATTAAACTTTTTATATATGTTACATCAGTCAACAATACCAAATAGAGTGTTTCTGTTTGCGGCTTTTTGGGATCGGGAGCACGTGTTGAGCTCTTACCATCTTTTGCCATAATCACTGCTCCGCCACCTGTTTGCATATAATGAAAATGAGTTGTATCTTCGATAGAGCCACGCAACAATTGAATATTTTGAAATTCAAGGGTGTAATGATCGGTAGGTGGCAATGAACGAGTACTCATGCCTTTGGCCACTTCCGTACAATTGCCGATAAATGCAATTTGAAAATGATTTAATTGGTCAAGTGCTTCTTTTTTCCCAGTAAATACAACCATTTTTGTGGCCTACTGAACAAAAGAATAACAAATCGAAATAAGCGATAGATAGCATAACAATTGTCGAGAGAGGAGTGTAGAATTCTGGGACGATGCGTCATAGAAATCAGGTGACTACGACAGGTGACTATACTTAAGATGCACGTAATGCAAACTTGAAGTGAATTTTTTTTTGGCATTATTATACATATTCAGATTCAGCTTAACGAGCTCATTACAAATAACACCTTTCGAGCCTCCAAAAGCCACTTCTTCGTGGAGAAAAACTCAAATTACTGAGAGGACCTCAAAAATACCCAAAACCGTCCTCTGTGATGAAATTGACTTTTTGAGCTTGTATTGCGAGATGGAAGAGTCGGACTACATTTTTCTGAATCAGCATTGAAAACTGATTTAGAAAAGGTTTTCAATTCATTTCAGAGATATATCTCTGAAATGAATTGAAAACCTTTTCTAAATCAGTTTTCAATGCTGATTCAGAAAAATATAGTTCGAACCTT